ATTAGTTTGCGGTGTGCCTACAATGGAAAAAGTAAACATTCGTTTTAGTTACTCCGAACATTGCGGTTACCTTATTTTACTGTATCTGTATACAGATACTGACATGATGATCACTGAGATGATGCTTCAAGGCACCACTGTTCAGGTCAGCTGAGGGATACGGTTTCTACATCCCATGAACCACAGGTGCTCAAATATAATCTAGCCGTTGCCCTCTAAATGGTCCCTGCGGCGTCTACACGAAAAGCAGCGTAATGTGAAGTGACTCGTTTGTTTCCTGGGTTTTTTAGGTTTCAAACGTTTTTATTAGAGTTATACTTTCGACACTTGATCCGTTACCGGTTCAGATATAATGGCACTGAATTTTCACTAGGAACATCAAGATCATTAACCTGACGGATTTTCGATAAGTGGACAACTTTTTTATGTCGTCTTTAGTCTATCTTGCTGTGTGCTTCGGATTATGGATGTCTCTCTCTGACAGATAAGCCATAAGTATACCTTGTTATATATTCTATATTAAGTTCTTTCATTCCAGTCAGCTTATTTTTGTCTCCTTTCGCCGTAAAAACTTTTCTTCACTTTCGCAAAATGGTGTCTACCGTACTCGTGTAATCAGCTATCGATGAGTAGGTTTACTTAAGTTAGTGACTGCTCTAGTACCCTTTGTCCCAGGGTCGCAACAACGATTCCTGCTAAACATTTCAAGGACAATGCCGCCATTGCTCTTCGGCGTAATCCAGCATACAGACGCAGAAACAGACGTGATGCAGCAGGGCAACTTCTGCATTCTACTAAGTCCAAAGTATGTTAGATAACAATACCTGAATTTGCTCAATGTGACATTCTTCTTCCTGCTCGTCTTTGGTTTGTAGCTTCGTAGTTCCATATTCTTTTTTGTTAGGTCCAAGAGTTCCATTGCGATTCTGTTCTCTACTTTATGTCGTGTGATATGTACATAATTTCCACATATTTTCTTTCTTTGGCGATTCTATTCAAGCAGTAAGCTATTCTTTATTCATTAATGCAGAATACTGCGTTATCAATGATTCATCTCAGAATAACAGAATTAGTATTGGCCATAGCGATGAAAACTACCTGTGACGATAGATCAAACCATGTCGTGTCTTTTGTATCCTGTACAGTTACGTGACGGATGCCACCAAGAATCAGGTTTTTGGCAACCTCTACTCCAAGTCCGCCCAAGCCACTAATGAGCACATTAGCCATACGCAACCTGCGCATCGCTCTTTCGCCGAGCACGTACCTACAATTTGCATTAATTACATTGTTGAAATAGAGACAATAATGCGATCAAGTTACAGCTGACGAGAATACAGTTGAGGATCAAACGACGCCCCACCATCTCCGTCACCAATGTGGCTTTCTTCGGTGCTCAACTGCCCGTTGATGTCTTCGCTTTGGTGCACCATTTCTGAACTGCCACTGTCGCTACTGCTTCTCACCTGCAGAAGCAAATGTCAGTCAACAACAAACGTGGTAAAATTTCAAGTGACACCTGTCGGTGAGACGTTTTTCTTTAAACTTATTTCCTTTAAAACTAATGTCGGCAACATCAGAGACAATGTTATTATTCGGCAATTCATTATTAATGAGTTGTAGTGTCAGAGAACAGTTATGAAAAAGCATAGATAATACAATTACAATGACAATGGTGTCTATGGGCAACAACAAAATAACGTGAACATCGAAAGACAAAAAACAGCAAACACTGGCTATGACACAATGTTACCTGGATCAGTCAGAGGATCATAAAATGGAAAAAAGATTAGTTCTTTAACAGCACTGGCAGATAAAGTAATTTCGTCTGGTCCATGGTTCCAATACATAGAAGATATCACTTCAGAGGCAAATAGTCGAGGTGTAGACTGGTGTGTATAAAACTGTTCCATTGAGAAGGTAACAAAGAGCTTTAAAAAGAGTGTTGACAACCCGGTAATGCAACGGAAATCACAAACCGAAGAGATTTCGCAAGGGCAAATAGTTCAAGGTGAGGATCGTACAAAAAAAAACTAATGCTTATTTTCCAGCTGTTCAAATATAGAATCAGCACCTATTAGCAAAGGTAATTTCAAGCTCAAATTTCCGCAACACGTTTGAACTGTCAACCACTCACTACAATTAATTTATGTGACTTGAAGGTAACATTATCAATGCACCATTACATACGTAGTGCTACAGCTATAATTATCAAAATCACCGTCACTTTGAATGTTACTGCAGCGCGACGAGATGCAAACTGACTGTTGCATTTTTCCACTCCTCTACTCCCTCCCGGACCGAGCATCATGTTTCACCAAGCCGTGGATTGTCTTCGAGGACGATGTTACTTAAGCAAGCAAATACCAGTGCACAAACAAAATAATGCACTGCCCTATCCCCCTCCACGATTTTCAACAGTGCCTAATAGCACCAGTTAAAGACTGCATTGCATTTAAAAGCAGAAAAAGAATTGACAGTCTGCTTGCAATGCTAAACGTACACTGCAAGCCGCTGGAGCAAGACGTGTGACATAACAGTTGAACTTTGAACCGAACATTTTGTTTTTTAATTCATATAGTTCACTTCTTAACAAACTATAAGAACCACATGTATGCTATGTGATGTCCGCAAGTGCTGGATGCTTTCCTTGTCTTGCTGGGAGTGTTTAATCAGCGAATGCCAAACTAATCGTGATCATCTTCAAGCTCGTAGTCATTAGCATACCATGAACAGCATCGTGATTCTTATCATCATTCCCACCATTATGATTATGAACCTCATAAGAATGATTTCATCATGTTGCGTCTCATTATAATTCTTATCATAATCATTTCGACAGTCATCATTATAAGAGTCGTCGTAGTTTTTATCATCCTCATCATTATTATACTGAGTATTATCATGAATCTTATTTTTCACTCAACTGCCGCTTTCGCCACCATATATAAGAAATGATTACCTTTAAATCATGGTTTTACGACGTGCCCAGCATAGAGCTTAACTGTGACAAAAGGCATCAGATGTTCTGCGCAAGCGTCGACCTATGGAAACGACTCTTACCGATTTGGAGGCGATAACCGGAAGCAGCGAAACATCTAGAGGTGCAACTATCGAGCTGCGGTACATTCGTAATCACAGACGCAGCGACTTCAGCGTCGTTAGGACTCGACTAAAGTATGACAAGCGCCCTCGCATATCGAATGATGAGAAAACAAATCAGGAAGAAAAACCGCGTCACTGGAAGCAACGATCAAGTAGAGGTTACCGCGCAACGGACACAAAACGATAGTCAAGAATGAACGAAATTATGCGCCATGCGTTCGGCTAGCAACGGCCATCAGCGAACCCGTTCCTTGATCTATTAAATGTCTTTCTACATTACCACGTATGTGCGTTTACTAAGGAGAAACTTGGAGAAAGCTCATCAATACCTGTTAGATCACACTAGTTTGGTAAAGCACAACACAGCGTATGTCACATCACACACAAAACAGATAACCTGAAAAGTGCGTGCAACTTTGAACGACAAGTAACGGATTAGAATGAAACATAGGCAAAAAATAACCTATTGATTTTCTTCTGATGTGCATACATTCAGATTATGATCGATAGTTTTCGTCAGTAACATCATAGAAGTATCCAGCACAGGACGAATGCAACCCAGCACAACAAGCAAAATTACTGGCCCCTTATATTTTGGTCAACTTCATAGTGACAAAATAAAGTTCGCAAGAAAAATCAAATGTACATATGAATAAACCGCCACGTTGCACCTTTACTTCGAAGTTAGTTTAAAAACGGTTGCTAGCAGATTCCCCGTGCATTATACTGCTGAATGCGGGAATCACCGGTGACGAGCCTTTCAGTCTTACCTCTCACCTATCAGAAAATGTTATACTGCAAAAAATACGATATATACACTAGATCTGAGGAATAAGACATAACAGAAATTCTATGTACACCGTTTAATAATCGACGTATCCTCAATGTAGGCAGTTTAAACTTGAGAGTTGTTAAAAGACGCTAACTGATTAATACTCACTTTCAAGCTCTGTAAATGGTGTAGGGTCGCTGAGCTACTGGCTTTGAATACACTTTGGTGCCTCACTGAGTATCAGCAAAAATTTAATTCTTGTAATGTAAATACTGTGTATGTATGTATATATAAATGTAAAGATAAATGATGGATCAACAACTAACCAATCGCAAATTTCCGATAGCGCAAAAACGACAAATGGTCAATGCCATTTAGAGCCAAGAACGTCATTCTATATTAGAATTTGTCAATCCCGTAATTTACTTAAAAGCAACATTACTGCCAAAGACATATCAGTCCAGAATCATTATTTTTACCGTGGCAATATAGCGATCTTTCATCCTCCAGCTTAAATGATCATATCCATTAGTACTGCTGCAATATTGTTATTCCTTGAGAAAAGCAATTTATTTTATAATTCAACAATAAAATGAAAATTTTATCACTTTTCTAAATCCTGGTTAATGACGTACTAGATTACTAGAGCAAGAGGTGGACAATCAGAATAATTTAATAAACCTCATGAAAAAATACAATAAAAAGCGTTACACAACAGGAACTTGGTGCAGATGCTTGCGCAGGCGTCTAAAATTATTTAAAAAAACAACTACGCATTTATGGTCAATGAAAGAAACCCACGTCGCTTAGAACAGGAATATCTGACCGATTTATTCTTATAACTAAATATTCTGTCCTATATTTAGCTGACTAATCCAAAAAAGTGAATACATCGTAATTTAAAACGTAAAACTATATAGCACTACAGTAACAACTTTGGACATAGGCAACAGCGTGGAGCCAGAAGTGTGTCAAACACCTAAGCGGCTGACGCCAAGACAAACGTTAAGTGGCAATAAACAAGGATTTCCATGCAATTGCCGATATATCTCAACTTTTCTTTTTCTTCATCTTCATCTTCCATCGCCGCTTCTTCTTTCGGGTCGCGGAGGCAGACGCGTCAGACAGTGCTTC